GAGATCCGAGGCCAGAAGGAACCCCCTCCCTGAAGCGCCCCCCCCCCCGCCGGCTGCCTCCCAGGGAGGGGGCGGCCCGCCCACCCCCGAGAATGCAAAAGACACTTCTGGTGAAATGCCCCCCCCCCCAGGTAAAGGCTACCTCACTCAAGCTCATGTCTGTGATTGGAAAATCACGCCTGATACCAAAGATTTCTCCCGAGGACTTGTGCTGGATGACAGGATTCCCTGGCCTGGGACCCGGCTGGGGCCGCCTGCCGAGTGCCACCCCTTCCCCCACCAGAGAGCGAGAGAAAGAGAGAGAGTGAGAGAGAGAGAGGAAAGAGAGAGAAAAGAGAGACAGGGACAGAGGGAGGGAGGGAGGATGGTGAGGTCGATGAGTGCCTTCTTCTTGAACCAAAGACGTGTATGGAGTGTTCTCTTGTCCTTATCGACTCGCTGTTCTCCCAGCTTTCCACCCGACCGGATCTGAGTGATGCTTCTAGAACATTTGGGTGTCGGGGGGTTCCTGATAGTAGGAAGGGTCCCCATGCGGGCTCAGCACCCCACCTCTGCCCCCACACACGCAGACACGCACGTGCAGACAAACACACCTGGAGACGGACACACGCAGGCACACACACAGACACACATGCAGACACATGCACACACAAAGACACACAGACACATGCAAACACACACATGCACAGACGCATGCAGACAGACACACACAAAGACATGCACATCTGTACAAATGCAGACACATGCAGGCACACATGCACAGACACATGCAGACATGCAGACACATGCACACACCCAAGACACACACACACAGACATGCACACATGCAGACACATGCAGACAGACACACACAGAGACATGCACAGATGTGCACACACATGCAGATACATGCAGACACACACATGGAGGCACGCAGACATGGAGACAGAGATGCGGAGACACACATGCACACACACATGCACATACATGCAGACACGTGTGGACACACACCCTGGCTCCTGTCTTGTGGTGTTACTGAGTGCCACCTCCCACTAAAACCTGGGCCTCGGTTTCTCTCCCGCCCCCACCCCTAAGTTCCTGATGAACCCAGAGCTGTCCTGCTGACTCCAGGCCCAGCAAGTCCGGGGCCCATGTTTTAATTTCTTTTAAAATCAGAAGGCAAAAAAAACAAAAAAGCTTTAGGTCCAAGAAGATGTGGACCTATTTACCATATTACTTGTCTTTATACCAAGGTAGCCTACGACAGACAAGTTTTTAAATTTCTGTTTTAGAAACAGGGTTTTGCTCTGTCACCCAGGCTGGGGTGCAGCGGTGGCATCACAGCTCACTGCAGCCCCGATCTCCTGGGCTCGAGTGCTCCTCCTGCCTCAGCCTCCCAGTAGCTGGGACCACAGGCACGCACCACCATGCCCAGCTGAATTTTTTAAGAGTTTTTTTGTAGCGATGGGGTCTTGCTATGTTGTCCCGGCTGGTCTTCAATTCCTGACCCCAAGGGGTCCTCCTGCCTCGGCCTCCAAAAATGCTAGGACTACAGGTAAATAGACACTTAGTGGAGGAAGGGGCTCTCAAAGGCAATGAAGTGGTCCTGATGCACAAGCGTTATGCTGCAGCCCTGACCCAGTGAACTCCTTGGGAAATCCATGCCTGGGCCTCCGGCACTGGCCAGAGCATGGGCCTTCGGGGGTCTGGATTTCCTAG